GCTGACTGAAACATGCCGTCAACTATGCAATCACCTCGGATCTTGGCGGTGCACAAATCGCTCAGTGAAATTCTCCCACGTTCGTATATGAACGGATCGGTTTCCGTCGGCTGCGTACGGCCATTATGCGCTGTTTGCACCAGAACTCCGACCACCATTTTTGAAAGGGGGCCTTACTACGGTGACTAGAAATGGCAGTAACCCTTAGATTTTTTGCTGTCTACTGACAGCAAAGAACAACAACACCGTTCAGAGTGAGAATGGATGAGGCGGTAGAACGGTGAAGATAATCCCTGCCGAGCACACACTGGTGTGTGCCAACTACCATAAAAAGATCCACCTACCCTATTGGCTGCGAAGGATTGCTTCGTCTTGTTCGGCGAAACGTGAAGAAGCATCTCCTTACATGGATCTTGGATGGCGGGTCCTTTTGAGCTTCCGTGAACAAAAAAATTCCAGTTGCAATGCGGAACGAACCACTTGAAGAAATTAAATATTCCACGAAATTCTTCCCCAGCTTTACAGAGACAACCTGCTCAGCCATCGCAGCCATTTACATACGAATTTTGCACAGAGTAGTATTAGTACACCTAAACAGACCTCAGTAAAACGACTACTGTCAACTCTTCTCTGAATCACATTCTGTGCTACCATTACAGATGGCCGCTGCCGGAAATTCTATGTGGGTTGTAGTGCCAATCAGTCAACGACTGAAACTCCAACACGTAGAAGTAGCAGCGCCATTTACAGTGTTTTACAATTTTCGGCCAACGAGATTCCATCCGGGAATTTGAAATAAGTGGATTTGGCTCATGCTTATACTTGTAAGCGCCACAGCTACTGGTAGCTGTGTAGTTTTTGCCAGTGTTGACATCGTGCCAACTAGGGTACGAGCCCACGCCGAAAGCGCGCTTGATTGTGCTGAAGGGTGATGAATCGTTTGACTGAACCAGCCCATTCTTCTCTTAGCCCTGCAGAATTTTTAAACTTCAATTTGTTTCTGATGGACCGCCTGCTACCCACCTGCCACACAAAGTTAACCTGGCCCGCCGTGCTCATCGTTTATACAGCTCCCAAGTGCTTTAGGAGGAATATGTGCTTGCTTAACACTAGGCTCCTAGGGTTTTGAACTCATTTTTCTAGGCGTTTAGTAGCTCTCCAGGTTGATTTGTCTAACTCTATGCTAGCTAGTCTCAAGACCCATTGTTTGCTTATTGGTTTGACCTTTCAGAGAAGGGGAACCATCCTTTCAAAATCTGATCCAAGTTGCGCACCTGGGAGCTGAACTGTTTGGAACGAACTGGTTGGGATTCTAGAATGTGCTAGCTAAGCCCAAAGCGTACAGAACAAGCCCACTGGATTCACTGAGCTATATGTCCATGCATGGACAAAGCCCTACTAGTAATGGATCTGAATCTGTAAGCTAGAGTTAGTGACGTAGTAACTTACAATCCTCACATTTCAAATATCCGCTTTGCAGCCCTTTTCCCGAGGTAGGCTGATGGAGCGGCCAACTAGTGTCATCATGCAGTTGACAGCTTTTAGGGGGCACGCATCTTATATAGCTTTTTCCACACCTTGCCGTCGCCTCAAGTTGTAAGATTCCCCCCGTCCCACCTATGCTGTACTCAAAACGTTGCTCCCATTCTGTTTATTAGGCAGGATCGACCCCCATTACTAATTGTTTGATTTGGTAAAAAGGGCGTAAACTTTGACATTTTCTCCATTGTGGCAAAAAGATTGTCTCTCTCTGTTGTGTCGTTCCCTAATCATACGCTTTCCTTTCAAGCATTACGTCCTAGGCAGCTCAACTATTTCAAGCATCGTCTAAAGTGCACATCTCCCTCGGATCGATTAACACTAAATATACTCATCTGGAGCTGCATTTTTATTGTACCTTATCAGGCTTCCAAAACCGCGAGCCGAATAAAGGAAAGATTGTGAATACATGTTGTCGTGGATCGCCCGCCGGTTAATCAGATGCTCCATTACGCCAGCACAATCCTCAGCGCAGTCACATACCGGAACACAGTTTTACATCGCAATCACCAGCATCAGTCAGCGCAAAGATATGTTTGGGGAATAGTTCCACCCAATCGACGATTATGCAACGACAATGTTGCCAGCTCATTTTCAGTCTCGTTTTCTAATGCTTGCACTTCAAGCAAAAGAAAAAGCAGTGGTGCACAGAGTGTTTTAACGGCCCAAAAACATGCAGAATTTTGCTCAGCGCGTCGCATTTAGGGCTGTGATGCATGGCTCATGTAAGCAGCAAAACAGGTAGTACACACATTTTCTGTAACCGTCATCTCAAGACCCAATTATGTATGAGCTAACGTCCGTAGATCCATCGTGAGGCAACTAAAAACGAGTGTTCTGTAGTTTAAATCAAATGATATGTTGCGTGATAATAGCGCGACCTCCCCTCTAGGAAGGAATTGATGCGAGTGACACGTGTGCGATTTTGGACGCCCTACAACGTGCCATTAATCGTAGTCAGCGTCCTTCCTGTTAACAGTTTCCATCTACAGTACGTGAACACGTATCTGAAGGTTTACACACCTTGGCAGTATAGTGGCGACCTAACAGCAGGTTCCCGCCTTACTCAACCAATGACCATGTCATCGCATGTCCTATTTAAATCAACCAATTGAGCTAGCTGTTTTACAGTCACCTTGCTTGGGTTTGGTGTGAAATTTAGGTTCAAATTTTGGATTATCAGTTCCCAAAATAATGTATAGAAAACGACGTAAGGTTAGGATTTGTGGGTTGCACAAATTTATCATTTTACCCATAGTACGACATTTGTCTGGCGCGTGATCCAACGTGACTCAAACTATTTGTAAAAAAAGTCAACCAAAAAAGCATTCCGCAGTCCGGAATCGAATAGTTATCTTTGTCCAAGTGTGGTCGTCCAACCTTCAGTCCATTTTCCAGGATTCTAAAAGCAAACTGCCTAGTTCGCAGAGTGAATGTTCTCCACAACACCCTGACTTTCGCAAAATATGAAGAGATACGCCTCCGTTGTGTCTGCCCTCTTAGGCAACAGGTTCCAGTTAGAAGCACACACCAGACTGCGATGAGCAAACAAAAAACGTCATTCGAAAGATTACAGCTACACGCCAGAAGTTTTGATAATAATGATAGATTTTCAAAGCGGTTGGTGGCACACCGTCGAGCATTATCATCACGTTCCAGTCCAAACAAACTCATGACTGACGGGGAATGTGGGCACGAGGGGGGTAAGGAAAAGGGGCGGTGTCATAGGGGCGGGCATTATCCGATGCAGGCGTGGTCACCACTAAACCGGCATGGGTAGAGAGGCACAGTTACTATGCGTTTTTGGAGAGAATATTGAGCAGGATCAGGCCGTTAGGATTTGAAGGTGGCGGGCGAAAAGCAGAGCATGGGGCAAAACAATTAGCTTCCTGCCCGACACACGACAAGAAAGGTTTAACGGTGAAAAATGAGGAGCCAGAACATCTGATCTGGTGGGGCAGTAGGGTTGGCGCCAGCCAGCCGAACTAAAACCTAAAACCACTGCTTAGGCCCCTGGCCTGTCTGGCTCGTAACCAGTGTCACAAATGACGTTAATGGGGATGATGAGGTGGAGGAATTAGCAAAGCGGATGGGTGGCAACAGGAATCTCGTAAACATGGTGTACAGTGGAATAGCAGAGATCCACCGGTGTCGCTGTTGCGGAGTCGAGCATAATAGTTCCTTGGAAGGGTGAGATGATGGCAACGCACAAGCCGGAACACAAACTGTATAAAAGCTACTGAAGTTCGCGGGAAGCACAGACACAAAGAAGCGGTCAAACTCGAACGAAAGGTTCAGCGGATTGGAGTGAACATGGGGCGGAGGTAGCTGGGGCCAGGTGGGG